TTTTTCAAGTTTTCTGTTTATAGAAATTATTTTTATATGGGATTCAAAAAGGTACTGAATTTTCCCGCCGTTTCTCTAACGATCGAGAGAAATTTGGAAATCTATTTTAACTTAGATGTGTATTTGCTTTGCATGTGATTAAGAAATTTCGGGTTTTATGAGATCGAAGTTTGTTTTTTTTTCTTATAAGTATTTGGGAATTATTTTCACGGGGTCCCATATCAGTGTTAATAGTTCGTTTTACATTTTGTTGATTATTCGAAAGATTTTTTCATGATATTTTATGTACGATGTTGTTATGTGCATTTTTTTTTAATCTTGCTATTTATGTCACTGATTTTTTTTCTCTATTTCTCTCCCTCCCCCCTTCTCCCTCCCACTTACCTTCACTTCCTTCTCTCCCTCCTTCCTCCCCCTCCATTCTTCACTCCTTTCTCCCCTTCTTCCTCTTTCCTTATTCCCTCTCTCTCTCCCACCTACCTTTCCCTTCCCTCCTCCCTCTCTCCTACCTTCCCCTCCTTCTCCTCACCCTCCTTCCTACCTCCTCCCTTTCCTTCCCCTTCTCCTTCACTCTCCCTTCCCCTCCTACTTCTTCCTACTTCCTCCTACCACTTCCATCCTACCTCCTCCCCCTCTCCTTCCCTCCTCCCACCTACCACCCCCTTCCTCACCTGTCCTCTCCCTCCCTCCCACCTACCACCCCCTTCTTCCCCCTCCTCCTTCACCCGCACCCCCACCAGGCCCAGCTCGTGCCCTGTGAATGGTGTGGCAGGACCTTCTTCCCCGAGAGGCTCGAGGTTCACCAGCGGGGATGCAAGCCGCCTCCAGGAGCGACGAAGAAGGCGCAGAGGTCGTCGGTGAGTAGAGAGGGGGGGGGGGGAGGCGGCGTTTAGGCACCTGGGTAGTGGGGGTCTTTTGAGTTATTCGTGTTTATTTGGCGATAGCAACGTCAGTGTTAATGGTAATAATGATAGCAATAGTAATATGATAATAGAAATGTTGATAGTAATAATGGTAATAATAATAGTACTAATAATAGTAACAATATTGATAATAATGTTGATATTGATCATTATAACAATAATGGTGATTGGTTGAGGCGGTGTATATTATTGGGTTTATTGATGTTTTCATTTTGGTTGGTGTTTTTTGTCACGTTTTGTTCAGTGTAGTATTTACCAAAATTATGATTATTTCCCTAATATTCCCCCCGCTTTTGTTATCGTAACTTTTATCATCATTTTTATCAGTATTCCCATTTATTATCGTTCGTCGTATATCGTACCATTACGGTTATCACTGATATTGATAATCTTCACAATTTTGATGCCAATAGCAGCAGCAGTGGAAGTATAAATATTAGTTTTATCAATAACATTATTCTGACCAGTAATCTTTGTTAGCATGATAGTTACCATTACATTTATCATATTTGTCCCGTTGTTTATGGTAATATAACTACATAGACGTTATTGATATTGTTATTGTTTCAAATTATCGCTAATATTATAGTTATATTATCCGAAGTTCTGCCACCATTGGTTCTCTTAATACTAGTTATTATTGTTAATAAACATATTTTTATTTTATGTGTTTTTGAGTCATTATATTTTGATTACAGCAAACATAATAACTGCATCCACTATGGCCCCCAGTAAATTGCTCAAAGTATTCTATTTTTAGCTCAGTAGTTACAGTTACCTTGTTTTGTTAATTTCCTCTTGAAAATTAACACCAATCCACCTCCTCCCCCTCCCTTGCAACCAACTCCCCCCTTCCCTCCTCCTCCCCCTTCCTTTCCCCTCCACCCATCTCTTCCTCCTTCCCCTCCACCCCTCCCTTCCTCCTCCCCCTCCCTCCTCCCTCTCTCTTCCCACTCGACTTCCTTCCCTCCTCCCCCTCCCCTTCCACTCCCCCTCTCTTCCCACTCCCCTTCCTTCCCTCCTCCCCCTCCCCTTCCACTCCCCACCCCTCCTCTCCCCTTCCCTCCTCCCTCTCCCCTTCCCTCCCCTCCCCCCCCCCACTCCCCCACCTCGCACTCTTCTCTCCCTTCCGAAAGATCTAGGACAACAATCATCTTCAATTATTTGCGTTGTATTGTTATGGATCTCTGAGTCATCTGGTGCTTATAACTAAGACGTATTTTTTCGGAGGGAGTCAGTAATAGGTAATGGTAATAGGCGTATATTCTTGCGTACATATTATATTAATATGTATTTGTATGTATGCAGTTATATATACATGGATATAGATTTTTTTTTTCTTTTTTTTTAGGGGGGGGGGGCTTGGCGAAATATCTTTTCCTTCTTTCGTCACACTACATTTTTCGATCCTCTGGTAATATTCCAAAATTGGGATACAGATAATTTTTTTTTTTCATGTTCATTGATTTATTAATTTTTGGAACCATCCTTGCGACCTTCATTTTGGTCTTAGTAACGGGGATGGAAATCACTCATATACAGAATAAAGTCTCTATATACACAGATAGATAGGTAGA